CACTTATTTCCTTACTCACCCACTTATCGGGACAGGGCCTCAGTGCGCAGCGGAGGCTGGCCTTGCCCTGGAGGTCCTCCGCCTCGCCACTGCCCCCGGCTGGGAGCGCTGACTGCGGCTGCACGGCTCCCTCCGGGGTAGCTCATCTCTCCTTGACTCGGTGCTCAACGTGCCTGTCACTAGCTCAAGTGCAGAATCTGCCGGACACGCAAGTGTGCGGAGATCCGTCCCTGGAGGGACTCCCTCTCGGGCGCCTGCTCCCGAGCTCGGAGCCCGTCTGTCCCCTCCTGCTGCCACTCTTCTCCCTGTGGCTCTCCTTCACCTGCCCCTGCTGTCCTGACCCCCTTTTTCCTACCTCCTGTTTCTTCTGTCACCTGGTGGTGGCCTCCCAGTAGGGAGATGCACACCCACGGCTGCCCTTGCCGTCCCTCCTCACTGATGGCGAAGTGAACAGAGGCCTGCAGCCCCAGGTCCACTCCCCTCAGAACCGGGCCGGCCCTGCTCCTCCGACTTCCACCCCTTGTCACTAACGGGAAGCCCGAGGATGCTGGACCCACAGTAGACGGGTGTCAGAGCCGGAAAGCCGGACACTCCAGTCCTTCGGGCAGGGGATTCCGCCCTCCTGTGGCCCTGGTCCCTCTTCCCTGCCCCCTCCGCACTTGCTCTCTTTCTCTCTCACACTTGCTCTCCTTTCTCTGTTGAGCTTAGAGAAGCGTCTCCCAAAGGCCCAGGAGTTAAAGGCTGGGTTACCAGCTGTGGTGCTACTGGGAGGTGACACAATCTTTAAGGGGTGGGGCCTGTGAGAGGAAGGTAGGTCGCTGGGCACATGCCCTTGAAGTGGACAGAAGGACCTATCACCAAAATGGCCACCCGTCCACCACTTATTTCCTTATTTATTCGTTTATCGGGACAGGGCCTCACCGAGCAGCGGAGGCTGGCCTTGCCCTGGTGGTCCTCCGCCTCGCCACTGTCCCTGGCTGGGAGCGCCGTCTGCCGCTGCTCGGCTCCTTCCCGGGGCAGACCTTCATGTGGTTCCCGTTTGCTGAATGAAGTGCAATAAAAATGAAACCCACCGTCCGAGCCTAAAGGGTCCAGCAGCCACACAACAGGAGGGTCTATGACTTTCTCAGTGAGGACTGCAGTGGTCCCTTTCTCCTTTTTATCGTTCCTTGGCTGTCATGAGGTGAGAAGCTTCCTCTGCCCTACGCTCCCACCATGATGCGCCACCTCTCCACAAGCCCCAAAGCACTGACCCACATGATTTTGCACGGCAACCTCCAAAACAGAGTCGCCATAAACCTTTTCTGTTTTTAAGCTGATTATCTCAAGTATTTTGGTACAGTAGTGGAAAGCTGACCTATACCATAGACCCTCCTTTTATGTGGCTGCTGGACCTTTTAGGCTTGGACTGTGGGTTTCGTTTTTTATTGCACTTCATTCAGCAAACGGGAACCACATGAAGGTCTCACAGGAAGTTTCCAGTGCCCCTGACTGGCAGAGTGGTACCCAGCCACCCACCAACACCATTCAGGAAGTGTCCACTGTTTGGAGAGTGTCCTCCAGCAGCTTCATTTCCAGGGCAGTGACTTTCTCAGTGAGGACTGTGGTGGTCCCTTTGTCACATCTGTACCAGCCAAACCTGGTCCCCTTCTTTTTGGGCACTAAGTAGGGGTGAGGAAAGTCTAGCTTGTTCGTGCTGATGTCACACAGGTGAATGTTGTTTCCAGACCCCGAGTCATTGAAGACGCCAGCTGCAGTGGCCTTGCCCACTGGCTTCTTGGCCTCCTCTTCCCCCTCCTCCTCTCCACATCTGGCTCAACCTGGTCTTCACACACAGCCGTTGCTGCCAAGGAGCCAGAACCCATGGTGACACGAGGGACCTTATCAGCTCACTGTGAGGACAGGCGCTGTGGAGATGAGGTCCAGCAACACCTACTCGCCCAGAACTAGGTGTCACAACCCAACCTTGGTACCCGAGAAGCCTCTGCCTCAGCACCCGCCTGGCCAGGACAACCCGGGGAGGGCGGCGGGTGGGGAGGGAGAGGAGCTCCGAGGTGGAGGAAACGAGGGGGTCGCCCGTCCGTGTCTGCTGCTGTCCCAGCAGCACAACAATAAGGGTCAGGAGATGGAGGTGAGTTTTTGAGTAGTTCCTGTCAGCAACAAGCACCCTTCAGCAGCTCTGTGTCTGCTCCCGCGCTCTCCCATCCTCACTGGCCACCCGCGACGGCAGCGCCTGTTTTCCGGGCTTTTGGAAGCTGACACCCTTGTTTGGAAAGTCAGCCTCATGGTGGCATCCCTGGGGCAGTTCTCAGCAGCGCGCCACCTGGCGGCTCTTACTGGGCAGCACCATCTCCTAGGAAGCCCAGGTGTGGCTCTCCCACGTCCTGTCTGGGAGCCGCTGCTCTGGGGTCCTCTCCTCTACTTGACACCTCGCCCTCACCGCGGCAGCCACTGCGTTTCCCCCTGCTGCTCCGCGTTTCCTGCTCCCTTGTCCCTCTGGCTCCGGCTTCAGGGACACAACTTCTTCTCCCTCCCGAGGACTGTTTTGCAAGTTCTCTTCTGCCCCTGCCTTTGTTTCTGTGGCTTTCTGGCAGGTTAAACCGCTTCTGCTAACATCAGTTCTCCTTGGTGATCTGCGGAGGTGCTGACGCTGCCCAATCTGGTCCCTCAGAGGTGGCCAAAGGAAGGACGAGGCTGCGCACCTCCCCGAAGGGCGAGCCAGCAGGGATGCCATTTTCCTGGGAAACCCCCGGTTTAGTGTCTGCAGACTTGTCAGTTTCTTCCGAAAGGAGCCTCTAGCCCTGGCCCAGCACTGAAGGTCTGGCTGCCAGGTTCTGGGAACCAGAGTTCTAGAATCCTGCTTCCTGCAGGGCGCGGCTCAGGCGAGGTCTTGGTTCAGTCCCCGGCTCTACCCCCACCTCCAAGAAAACACACCACCCACAAACAAACAGCACCGCACCCTGTCATCTCGGAGGCTGTGCGAGGGACGCTGGGCCCTGTCAGCCAGCACAGGCATCCTCGCCCCACGTCGGTCAGGAAGTGGTGAAAACCTAGGAAGCCACTGAGGGCTACACACCACGAAATGACAAGCCAAGGGAGCCAGCTGATGGACCTGTGGAGGGTCTCCTGTGGAGACTGTCCCCTGCTGTTGGTCCCCCCCTGTCCCCAGCCTGGGAACCTTCCAGTGCCTGCTCTCTGGAGTGACTCCAGACTCCTGTGACCTGGCTGTCAAGTGCAGGGGAGGGACCTGGTGCAGCTGCTTCTCCCACACCACCCAGCAGTCCTCCCGTGTCCCCAGGCCCTGGCATCTCCGAAATCTCATGTTCCTACTCCTGGCTGCTGCCCTGCTCAGGTGCTCAGCGCCCCCGCCTGCACCTGGTGTCACCCTGCTCAGGTCCATGTCCACTGGACGCCCCATGTCCCCTGGCCCGCCCACCTGCAGCAGCAGTGGGTTGAGGACAGCTCTCTGTGGCCACTTCCTGTCCCGTTCTCTTTGTTCTTGTGGGTTTATTCCTTTTAGATCCTCATCCTCACCCGGTGGCATTTGGGCAGAGGACAGAGGAGGATAAACATACCAACCACTGGGTCTCACGGAGAGCTCCGACCCTCGGCTCCTAAAATGGTTCTGGTCCATCAGGTGCAAGAGCAGGGGAGTCCAGAGCAGGGAAACAGAGCTAAGAGGGTTTGAAGGTCTCACAGTCTCTAGTCTTTTACACGCACTGATGGCGTGACCTCCGACAGGTGACTTAGCAGCTCTTAACTGTCACCTTCTTCATGTGACAGTGACACCACAACCCCCCCTGAAGAGCCACGTGACGAGGTCACACGGCCAGAACAGGGCAGTAGCCTCCACCTGATCACACTGGGAGCAATGGTGGGCCACACACGGGACGATGGTCCCACTGAACCACGGTGGGAGCGGAAAGGTTCCTCTCACCAGGGACGTCACTGTGGGGTCAAGGCGTTCCCCCGACACCTGTGGCGACTGCTGTGGAACAGCCCTGGTGCGGCCAGCCCATGAAGGCAGGGACGCCGTGCTGCAGCTCAGAGCCCCACACGAGGGCCGCGGTCCACCTGCTCCCTGCTCCTCCTGTGGCTGGGCGCACGGACCTTCTACTCATCAAGAATGAACCGCCAACAGAGCGCCCGCCCGACGGAGCCCACAGCCCGCCTTGACTGCATCAAGGGGTCCCATGCTGGGGACTTCCTGCCTTTGGCCTAACAGACCACGATGCTGCCTGGCTCCTGGTTCGAGGACACCCTGGCCAACCCACAGTAGGTACTTTGGTCTGGGTCCCTGACACAACTTGGAACCTGCCCGCTGCTCGCTCTGATGGGTTTCTGGGCTTTTAATATGAACTCAGGCTCCTTCTTCCTCCGAGCGGCTACTGGGGGGAGGGCTGCCAGCACCATCCGGGCTTCCCCTAAGTCCCTGCTGCGTGGTTCAAACACTGAAATAAAATGACCCGCGATGCTTTCCTCTGAGTGAATCTCTGGGTAAGTGACATATGAACACATCAACAAGGCTCGCTGGAGGGCGAGTGGCTTGGTTTAAGGAGGAAACAGGAGCTGGTCTGGAGCACCCTGACTGGAGAGGGGGGTGTGCGGGGCTGAGCTTTCCTCCGCAGACACCTGGGGCACTTCACTGAGGAGCTGGGGCTGCACCCAGAAGCTTTGCCATACCACGAGCCACACCCCCAGCCCCATTTCTTTACTTTTTATTTTGATAAGGCCTTGCTAAGTTGCTGAGGCTGGCCTTGAATTCAGGATCTCCTGCCTCAGCCTCCAAGTCCCTGGGGTGACAGGGCGCCCACCGAGCCTGGCTCAGGGGCACCTTCTACATAGACGGTCCTGAGCCAGGCACCGCAGAGCAGAGCTGGACCAGGACGTGGAGTCACACAGTTACAGGAAAAAGGTGACCCAGGAGAAAGGCTGGAGCCAGAGGAGAGAGGGGAAGGAGCTGGCGGCCAGCCCAGGGCCCGGGGCAGCACCGCCTTTACCTTTCTTGGTCTTACAGGGGCCACACTCAGGGTGAATGTCCTGTAGGGGAAGGGACACCACCTTGGCCAGCCCGGCGTTCAGCATGTACTGGTAGAGACGCTTGAATGTCCGCTCGCACAGCCCCTGCCAAGACACAACCCAAAAGCCACCGTCAGGCAAGGTGTGGGGAAGCAGGGCCACCCGACTGTCCTACACGAGTGACCGCCAAGCCAGGTCATCAAGGGAGTAAAGAGGCCCAGGGCAGCGCTGGAACGACTCTCTGACCCTACGAGGGGAGAGACTGCTGCCTTCAGAGTTCCTGCGGGGACGCAGGGGGCATCGGGCAGGTGGGTGTGGGGACAGGACTTGGCCTGGCACCTTCCCATACTGTTTGATTTTACCCACAGGAGAGCATTCTCACACACACACACACACACACACACACACACACACACACACACACACACACATCGTACAAGCAGTGGAACAAACAAGAAAAGTATTAGGTTTAAAAAAGTTTTTTACAAAATTATTTAAAATATGGTTCAAAGGGTCCAAGGTTGACAACCAAATACTCTCATGTGTTTTCCTGTGGTTACCAGCGGATGGCCGCCAGCGCAGGCCTTTTTTTTTTTTTGGTCACCAGGAATTGAACCACATCCCCTGCCCTATTTTGTATTTTCTTTAGAGACAGGGTCTCACTGAGCTGCGTAGGGCCTCAAAGTCGCTGATGCTGGCTTTGAACTCGGGATCCTCCTGCCTCCGCCTCCTGAGCCACTGGGATGACAGGCGTGCACCACCGTGCCTGGCAGGCCAGGCCTTTCAATCAACATATTTTCCTTTTTAAAAAGTAATTTACCACCGATATCGGAAAGTAAGAGCTTTCCAATACTGAGCAAAAACTGTCATGTTGGAAGCAAACAAACAAAAATATACATAGGTATAAAAACACTCTTTTTAAAGAGCCTAATGCTGGAGATACCACAATAACCCCAGATCTCAAATAATACTGCGGAGCTCGAGTAACACACACTGCAGGGTACTGGCATGAAAATCAATGGAACAGAAGACACAGAGACAAATGCAGACACTCGGCTGATCCTTGACAAAGGTGCCCAAACCTACGCAGGAGAAAAGAAGGACGTTTTAACAAATGTGTGGGAAAGCTGGAGAGCCACATGTAGGGGACTGAAACTAGATCCCCCTCTCACCCTGAACAAAAACCAACTCAGAGTGGATGGAAGCCCTAGGAATGAGACCAGAGACTCTGCGATGCCAAGAAAGCACAGGGCAGCACTGGAGCCAGGGTGCAGGCGCTGACCGCCTTAATGAGATTCTCGAAGCTTAAGAAGTGAAACCTAGAATCAGTGTGTGAGACGGCATCTAATTCAAAAGCTTCTGCATAACAAAGAAAATAAGGTGGATGCTCCTAATGCTGGCAATTCAGGAGTCTGAGGCAAGGTGGATCGCAATCCTACTTTGATGCCAGCCTCAGCAATTTACCGAAAGCCCAAAGCAAGTTAGCAAGACCCTATCTCAGACTAAAAAAAATCATTTAAAAAACTGGCTGGGATGTAGTTCAGTGGTAAAGCATCCCTGGGTTTAATCCCCAGTACCAAAAAACAAAATAAAAATCGATAAAGAACATGAAGAGAGAACCCACAGAATGGGAAATATCTTTGCAGCTTCTCTCCCAACAGGGGATTGATATCCACCACATATAAAGAACTCAAAAAATTTGACAACAGAAAACCCAAATAACCCAATCAAAAAATGGCCAAATAGTTATTTCTCAAAAGAAATGAACTAAATAGTTACTTCTCAAAAGAAAAACAAATGAAACATATGGCCAACAAATACATGAAAAACCTTACCACCCTTCGCCATCGGGAAGGCAAATCAAAACCACACTGAAATCCATCTCACTCCAATTAGGACGGTAGTTACCAAGAACACAAATAACAACAAACGCTGGCAAGGACACGGGGGGAAGGGACACTGTCTTGTTGCTGGGTAGATGGCAAACTAGTCAACCCCTTGGAAAGCAGTACGGAGATTCCTCAGGAGACCAGGCACGGAACCCCCTCGCTCCCGACCCACTCTGCCACCCCTTGGTATTTATCCCAGGGATCTAAAGTCGGCATGGGATCGCGATATAATCAGCATTTACAGTGATACGTGATCAACAGCCCAGTACAGAACCAGCCCAGGTGCCTGGCAACAGATGGAGTTTTACTCAGCCTTAGAGAAGAATGAAACCGTGCCGTTTGTTGGCAAGTAGAAGAATATCATGCTAAGTGAAATAAGCCAAATTCAGAAAGTCAAGACTCAAATGTTTTCTTTCATATGCCAAAGCTTGAGAAAAAGAAAAAAAAGAAAAAAAGGGGGGGTTCTTATGAAAATAGAAGGAAGACCAATAGAGCAGAGGAGGGTTATCAAGTGGGGGTGTAAGATTAATGTCTCCTTTTCTATCAAAGTTAAACCTGTGTGTGACTCGCAGACGTGTTTACTATAACTTCAACTTCACAGTGTGTAACGGAGACGTTTTCAGCTAGAAAACCATGTGCTCAGAATGTGGCCATTTGTAAACCCCCTAACACATGTCCCTTCCCAACTGTAGCCCTTTTCCTGTGCCCTCCCCAATTTTACACTAGCTAACTGCCTAGACTGTGACCCTGAACAGCTCCTCTCAGAGCAAGGGACAGAGCTGGACTGGGGATAAAGCAGTCCGCCCAGGTTGCTTGCTCGTGGGTTCTCGGGGCCACACCCTTCTGCAGAAGTACAATCTGCTGTGCTGACCCCCTCCTGAGCCCACATTTGACTTCTTGTGGCACCCTGGTATGTCCAGTGGAGGGACTGGGGAGTCCTGGGAATGAAATGCCAATCCTGCTGATGCACACACATACCTGGGTATGATGCAGTAACTGCGATAACACGATACTGATAATCACCCTATGATTGGAGTGATCATAGGGGATGAGAGGAGGGGAAGAAGAGGTTCCAGGGAGGAGACGATCAACGGGCATGGTTAATGCTCACTGCCATGCACAGTTACAGTGCACCCAGGAAAAAGAAAAAACAAGAAACACACTCTGTCTTCTCTTGGAAGATCCGGCAACCAATGCTAGGAGCTCCCTACAGTGGGGCAGGCTGTCCCCAGAGTGCCATGGCCCTTGTGCTCCCTGCCAACCCCTGGATGGCGAGCCAGGAGGCCAGCCCTACAGAGCACCATTTCTGTGCAGAGCACCTTTCCTGTGCAGCTCCTCTCTAACGGTCCTTAAGGGCAAAGCGAGTTCCCTAAACCTCTACTGCCATCAAAACCTTCCTGCGTGTGGCCAGCTCGGCCAGCCTGGCTCTCGCAACCCCTCCTGGTCTGGCTGCGACTGAGGAACAGCAAGCTGGAGTTTGCCCTGCTTCAGCCACAGGCTGGACTACGGCAGCACTCGGGTCCGCGTGTCGTGAGCAGGTCTCCAGGCTTCTCTTACCTTTGGGGGAGACAGGGAGCAAAAGACCACGGCCTCCGCGGCCACACACGTGAGACAGGCTTCCAGACCAGCCAGCACCTGCGCCACTGGGCAGCAGAACAGATGGCCACCAACACTACCGATGCGTCCCTGATGGCCCATTCGAACACACTGGCTCGTAAATGGCATCTTCTGTTAATCTAGCGGAGCCCCCAGCATCGGGGAAAGACCTGCAGAAGCTCGTCCATCAAACACAGCCGTCAACATATGGAACAGAGCCTGGGCGGTCCTGAGCAGGGGGCGTGACGTGGCCCTGGCTCCAGGGTGCCACTGAGGGCGTCCATCTGCCCAGCAGGAGGGAAAGAGCAGGGGCCTCCACCCACAGGAGAGCACCCTGATCCACGGCACCAGGCTGCAGGTCGTCAACTCAGCACGTGTCAGGGAAGCAGGACTGTCCCAGGCCTCCCCACCCACAGTCTCTGCCTCCATTCAACACCCATCTGCTCCCGGCCAGGTACCGCCACACAGTGGGTCCCAGCACGGGCAGAGGGACGGACCCTGTGCTCTGGATCTGGCCTTCACACCCCAGCCTGGGCCAGTGAGGGTCAGCAGCCAGGGCCAACAGGCTTTGTCTTAAGGTCCTCCTCTTCATTCCCCTCTGCGTCCTGGCTCAGTCTGTCACTGAGTCCCCTCAGTTCACCGCCCAAGCGCTGCTCAATCTCCACACTTGGGGGCCCCCTAGTGGCCGGCGGGGTAACAGCATCCACCTCCCCAGGCATCTCCTTCCCTCTTCTCTGTGCTCACACTGCCCTGGCCCTTCTCCCCACTCTCCTTTGCAGCCACATCTCCAGCACCCTGCTAATGGCTGCTCCCAGATCACTGGTGACCTCTGATGCCCCATGACCCCCCACAACTCCATGTCTCTGCTCTCCTTTGCCCAATATGGCAGCCCCCCCTTTGTCTGGGGAAAGCGACTTGCCCCCCCAAGCTGCCTGGCTCTCTGAGCACACCTGTGCTGTCACTGTGTTCACACGCCCGGCCTTCCCTTAGACAGCTCCGCGCCCGTGAGGTCTGGCAGCCACATTTGCTCTGTCCCCTGCTGTGGAACCCGGCTCCGGCTCAAAGTAGACACGCACTGAACCATTCACTGAATGAACACTGTCCTGTGGCAGAGGAGCCTCGTGACACGGACTCCACAGTGCTGACTGACACTAGCCCCATCTCTCTGCCCCCGAGGGACTGGGCACAACAGAAAATCTCATCTCCCAAGTCTGCGTGGGCCAGACGAGTAACAGTCACCCAGGGTCACATTTGCTTATTAAACATGTAAGAATTTGGTTTCTACTGGAGTCTCCTGAGGGGCCTTCACAATCTGCCTCTATGTTCTTCTTCTTTCTTTGCAGTGCTGAGGATGACCCCTGGACCCCGCCATGCTGGGCGAGCCCTCGACCTCTGACACCCCAGCCCCATTCCTGGTTTGACAGACTCAGATCCAGAGCTGCCCTGAGCCTCAGGGTATGTGGATGACCACGGGCAGGGACGGGGCCTCTGGGACAGGATGCAGGGGGCCGTGGGGGCTGGCAGTGCGGGAGCTCCAGCTGACTGCTGTCCCGAGCGGCTGCAGCTGTGGCTCGCCGGGGCTTCTGACTTCTCAACGGAAGCGGACACCTAGATTCCCAGGAGAAAGCTCAGGGCAAACAGAGGAAAAGGGAAAAGGCCAGGCCAGGCCTGTCTCCAGCGGCCACGTCTGACCACAAGTCTGCTGCAGAGAGACTGGAGCGTGCGATGAACGTCACAGCAGGAGACCCGCTCCTGACAGACGGTGACATCAGGGACTACAGCTGCAAGGACACAGCACAGGGTCCCAGGCAGGACAGACCTGCTGGTGTCCGTGAGCAGACTGCCACCACGCGCCTTTGGGACTAACTGCCATTACCCCTTACAAGACTTCAGAATCTAATTCCCGCAGAGCAGCCCATAGGTGATCTCACCTCTCTCCATCCCGACGTCAGCCCTGTGTTAAGTGGCACTGTCCCGCTCAGGTGGCGGCAGCGCCCCCCACGCTATCTTCCTCACACCTTGCTACTCCCACTGCCAGGCCCAGGACAAAACAGGCCAGCAATGGCTTTCTCCCCACGTCACCTCGCTTCCTTCTTGGTACAGTCACTCCGTCATCTCATCATAAACCCAATGGGAATGAAATGACAAGTCTCGTTATGGAAGAAAAACAAAATGTCCAGACCCCCACCCAGGTGACCCTCCACAGCAGGTTGAGACAACTCGCCCCCGGGAATGGAAGCCAGCCAGGGGCAGGAGCTCAACAAGGAACTCAGTGTCTTCTCGTGTAAAATAAAGGAGAGCCCCACTGTGCCCAGCTCTGGACACGAGGCATGAACCTGCACCCAGCCAAGGCCTCTAGCTGGGCGCCCGTCAATCTGTGCGTGGCCGTCGGGCCAGCCAGCCCTGGGGGAGGCCGCCAGCTCACCAGTTCCTCCCGCAGCTTGCCCAGCGTCTCGATCTGCTTGCTCCGCGTGCTCAGCATCATTGAGAGCTTCTCCATGAGGATGTCGTACTTGCTCCTCCTAGAACAAACACCAACCAGGTCACTTTTTAGGCCTCTTGCTAAAGGAAACCTGATTTTTGAAGACGACACAGCAGGACTTAAAGGACAACACAGGAAACTAATGGTAGAGATTGAACCCAGGGTCATTTAAGCACTGAAAGACTGCCCCAGCCCTTTTTTATTGAGACAGGGTCTCGCTAAGTTGCTCAGGGCCTCACTAAGTTGCTGGGACGACAGGCGGGAGCCACTGTGCCTGACCAGAATCTAGCTCTAGGGCCTATGGATCATCCTCATCTTGTGTCTGGAGACGCTGGGGCTGGGAACTTTCAGTCACATGTCTAAGGCCCTCCAACTGGTGAGAGTGCACAGAGCAGACTCTAGGACTGAAAGGCCAAGGCGATAATCCTTGTCCTTGACACAAACCCAGGTCCTCCTCTAAACTGACACCCTCAGTGTGTCGTGAAGCCCTGCTTTCTACCGCAGACTTCCCCGATGTGACAGCCACTTGCCATCCCACTCTGTTGTGAAGCCCATGTCACAATAAATGCTTTCAAACAAACAGCCATCAATGGAAGCCACTAAAGAGAGCAGAGGCTGGGGGAGGGGTGCGAGGAGCGGAGCCTTTCTGCCAGTTCAGGTGGACAAGGACAGTGTGGCTTGACCAGTCCCGAGGGAAGGGAAGGCCACATGGGATCTCCTGATTTGAAGTCAACATTAAGTCAACTCTACCGCAGTGACAGACCACGACTGACATGACTTTTGTTTTTAACCCTCCTTCCCTGCCGCTTCAACTAAATGTTAACAGTTCCTATTGGGCTGTGGGGTCTAGGTATTTTTTTCTGCATAAGTTTCAAATTTTCTAAATGAACAGGATATATTTTCATCAGAAATAGATAACAATAGATAACTTAGTTAAAAAATATAGTCATGGCCCTGGGTTCAATCCCAAGTACTGCAAAAATAAACAAATACCCACACAAATAATATTTAAAAAACAAATAAAATAGACATAATCACATTATGATTTGGCCTTTTAAGATTTTTAAAAGCACATACACACGGCTGCAGCATTCACCCCATTTTGTTTTCTGCACTTACCTGTCCACGTGGAACCGGTTCAGGAGGAGGAGGATCGAGTGCTGCTGGGCTCCCGTGGGTAGTCGGATCACGTGCGACTGCATCGTAATGAGCCCGTTTTTATTCAGAATCTTCCTATGATAATGAAGCTTCCCAGCATCAACCCTGCAGGAGGACAAGAGTGTGGGCCCCGTCATTTTGCTCTGACAACGTACAGGGTCTCTCACCTGGACACACACCTCCCATGGAACCAACCTCAGGGAACAGTCACTGTGTTCCAACGGCCTGAAACAAAGTGACACTCCTCGTGCCCCAATCTAAAGCAGGGAAGCCACCCGCCCCTTACTTGAAAGCGGTGCTGTGAAGGTCTCGCTGCAGCTCCCCCTGCCACCGGGAGCGGCCTAGTCGCTCCAGAATGCAGTAGGAGAAGTCAGGGAGCTTCAGGTCAGGGTCCCCCTCTGCGCCGATCAGGGCCCTGTAGCGCATGTCCTGGGAGGCGACGATGATCAGTTTCTTGCCCCACCTGCAGGTCAGCAAAACCACAGGCAGAAGTCAGTCCCGGGCACTCGGAGCAAGGCACTCGGAGCAAGATGGACACTCCCTGCAGTGGCCGGCGAGACCCCCACCATCCAGTCCTCGCCCCCCCACGCCTGGCGACTTGCCAGACTCTGCCCCTCACCACACGGCTTTTTCCTAAAACAAACTCCAGGCTGCTGCCCTGGTGTCCCCTCTGCCCACTGCTTTCCTCTTGGATCTTTAGGAACTGAGTCCTTATCTTTCAGGTGACAGCTCAGCTGGCAACGCCTCAGGCCTTCCAGAAAATGCTGCCTGAGTTCCAGTCCCCCTCACCATTCCCGTATTTTCTATAGCATTTGGCGCTCTGCAAAGAGCCTCACTGCCAACATTATGGTCTGTCTCCCTATTCAAACATAAGTGCCACAGACAACACATCAGGGGCACTCCCCAGGGCATCCTTGCCTAGAGAATCTGTGCACAGCAGAACCTATGTGTTAAATGAGTGACCTAGTGACGGGAGCTGATACAACTTCAGGGCCAAAACCAATGGACTGAAGTCCACTGGAGGGGCCATGGGGATTGAACCCAGTTACACTTAACCACTGAGCCACATCCCCAGCCTTTTTTATTTTGAGACAGGGTCTTGCTCACTTTGCTTAGGGCCTCGCTAACTTGCCAAGGCTGGCTTTGAACCTATGATCCTCCTGCCTCAGCCTCTTGAGCTGCAGGGATTACAGGCGTGCGCCGTAGCGCCTGGCTCAGATGATTTTGCTTCTGCTTCCAAGTAGACAAAAAGGAAATAGAGACCGTCTTTGTATTAAGTGCCTCTTCCTTTGCATTGTTTGTGACCAATAATTAGTTTTCTGCATAAGGCACAGAAATCATGTAGCCCATCTTCAAAAAGAACATTAGGTAGTGAAGTCAGGTACGGTGACACACGCCTGTGATACCATGCTCAGGAGGGGGAGGCAGGAGGATTTAAGTTTGAGCTTGTACTGGGCAACTTAGCAAGACTATCTCAATAAATAAACAAAAGAACGTTAGGGGCTGGGGTGGGCGCTCAGCTTTAGAGTGCTTGCCCAGCACACACGAGGCCCTGGGTTCCATCCTCAGCACCACATAAAAATAAATAAATAAAATAAAGATATTGTGTTCAACTACAACCACAAAGTATTTATTAGGCTGTAAAGACATAAAAGAGGGTCCACTTTTTGTGTCTGAATGTGACAAACATAGGACCTATGCTCTCATTTCTCAAAACAGGCTCATTAAATTGTAAGAGGCTGACTGGGAGTAAAAACAACTGGTTTGCTGCTCACTAAATTTTATTACTCAGATTAGGGCACTATCCTGCACACCAGAAGCCCAGTGTTTCTGTTAATTATTGCCAGTTAGCTGGTCCAACGGCCCCTGCTAGTTTGCTAACTGTGGTCAAGTTCAAGTCACCAAATACTGATGAGGCGCCGTGTAAAGAGCCAGAGCACCAAGAAAAACAAAAATGCTACCCCCTCCAGGAGCCCAGCTTGCTGAAGTAAGAGAAGGAGCGATCCCATCGTGAGGAGCCCTCTGCCACGGACGGCAGCCTGGGTGGGAGCTGTCGAGACACATCCCTGAGGAGCCGCACTGCAGCCCCAGGAGGGAACCCGTCCAGGAGCGGTTTGAGTCAGCAGTGAGCTGGGGGATGGAAGGCAGCAAGGACGCAAGAGGCTGGCCTGCTCCAGGGCCCTGGGGTGGCACAGCTGGACAGCCAGGTGTGCGGAGTAAGCTAAAGGCACAGGAAGAGCGCCCGGGGCCAGCAGCAGCCTGCACTCTGAAGGGCCCCACCAGGCCATGCTGAGGAGCTGGGTTCCATGACACGGCTCCAGGGTTTCAGCCTCAAACCCACAGTCAGCAGGGGGCCGGCCAGGAGGCGACTGGGCCAGCATTTCCTAGACTCGAGATACAGAGACCAACAGGAAGCACAGCGCCCTGCCCTCGAGGAGGGCACAGTCTCACGAAGAAAGAGCGCCATAAATCAACCCTTCAGCCATCCGGGTCCCATGCAATGACTCCTGCTAGTTCCAATCTGCTGCCTGTGGCCATCACCCAGGTATCGCGTTTCTAGTAGCAGAATGAGCTGACGTGCTTGTGTATGCCTCCTTTCTCAGCAGACTGTAACAGAGTGATCTGGTGGCGCCTGGGCAACAAAGGACACTTTTGTGGAGTCAGTTGAAGCTGGAGCGATGAGGGGGAGGTGCTGGGTGAAGCTCTGATAGTAGAACAGTCTAAGCTGCAGGAACAGCACGAGCCTTTGCTTGGAGACAGGAAGGAGCCTGCTATGGTCCCGCTGCAGCAGACTGGGAAAAGAGGAAGCCGAGAGAGCCTCGGCCAGAGGACAGCGTGGGCAGGGGAGGTCACCCGAGCCTCCTAGGACAGCCAGGAGGAGGGGAGAAGACATGAACGAAACCTCAGACACACAGCACTGGGCGGCACTGGCCTGTCTGAAGGGGACTCTGGCCTACAGTCCATATAAAATCAGCCCGTGGCTAGATGTTGTAATTTTAAGAAAAGCTGGAAATGCATGTTTCTAAACATTAGCTACAAAATAAAATTAAAAACTAACACCACGCCTCACAGGACAAACAGGGCTTGTCTGTGGGCAGAGGGGGACAGCTGTAACCTGCACCTGGAGCCATCAGAGAACCAGCCGTCACATGTCCATCTCAGGACAAAAGGAGAGGTGGCCCCAGCGGAGAAGGGAGACCACTGCATTAGACGGAGTCCAAAGGAGGTTTGAGGAAACTCTAGAAGGTCAAGTCAGGAGGACGTAGACGTCAGGAGAAAGGGCCCGGGAAGAGGCCCTTGTACTGTGTGGGGCAGGGGGCACCTCGACCAGAATAAAGAGAGAAGGAGAGGAAGAGAAGCAGGTCTGGGGCAGGAGACTGAGGACCACATGGACATGAGGGACGGGCCACTGACACACACACATGGATCTCGACAGGCCTGGGGACGAGATGGAGCCTGGGTGAGGGCAGGGGAGTTCACCAAGAAGCTGGTGAGAGGCCACGAGGACGTGGAAAGAGCACGGGGAGGAAGCCCAGGGCAAAGCTCTGGAGCCCGGTGCTGTCCCCTCCTCAAGGGCCCAGCAGTGCTGAGGGGCTTGCTAACTGCTCAGGGGACACCACTGTGAGGAAGTGACGAAGGCGGGATCTGCCTTGGGCAGAGGGGTGAGGTGGAGGTGAGGAGGTAGGCACGTCTGTGACCCCAGCGGCTCAGGAAGCAGAGGCAGGAGGATGGCGAGTTCAAAGCCAGCTCAGCACCTTAGTGAAGGCCCTAGGCAACTGAGCCAGACTCTGTCCCCAAAAGAAATACGGAAAGAGGCCGGGGTGTGGCTCAGCAGGTACGGGCCCCTGGGTTCAATCCCCAGCACCAAAAAAAAGGGGGGGGGGAAGCAGAAGCAGCGATTAAAGCTGTGTCCTCCAGGACGCCTGGCTCAGGACCTTGGGATGGCTATCACAGAGGACGTAGCGTCCAGAGCAGCTGAGCCATGCCACTGTGCTGAGCAGAAACCCCAGGAGCTGGGCTCAGGGTTCGGGGAGGGAGGAGGAGAGCCCAGGCCACAGTCTAGGTCAGGGCCACCACTTCTCCTCTCCTGGGGGTGGGGGGCGGGGAGGAAATGTGGAAAATCCACAAGGGAAGCACGAAGTGGAAAGCTGGGAGGGTCCGCAAGGAGTTCTTCCCACCTGAAAAGCAGGAGTGGGGGGAGAACAGGCTGGGCACTTAAAGTGACAACGTGGATGGCCTACTCTGGGAAAATGACTAAAAAGTCGCAAAAGGTCAGCTGGGCAGCACAGGGCCTAGCCAGGATGCGAGAAGGAAACGTGTCATCCAAATGCTGCCGCCCGCCATCCCAACCACACAGACTGTGGACACGGAGGAAAGGGAAGACAAGGCCCTGACTGCCATCGTCCCACAGGAGGGAGAAGGAAGGGGACAGCCTCAGTGCCGAGCTAGCAAGAGACCTGGAGGCCCCGCCCAGAGCCAAGCGTCTGGCCACCCCGAACACAGAAAGCTGACCCCCAGGAAGTCACCTGCCGAAGGCCTCCACCATGGTACACCGAGGCTGCAGACACTTAGTCCTGATGCTGTTGGTGATGTTTTTCCTTTCCTTAAAGTACCGGCATGAGCCCTGGATGCCATCTTTATTCTCCAAGATCATGTGGATGGGGTAGACATCCTCCAAGGGGACTGGGTCCCTCCTGGACTCCAAAATCCCAGTTTCCAGGTCGATCTCTTCATACCTGAAGATAAAGCACAGATACCAAACCCCACTTAGCCTCAGAAATAAGGTACAACTAGTGTGCTCTTGTGCCACCCCCTAGCAGGGACCAGAGGAGAGGAGACGGCGCAGCCTCTGCCCACAAATGCAGACAGTCTTGATGGGCAGGTTCCCCTGCCTATTCTAGAGAACACGGATCTTTCCAGGTCCCCCAACCCCCCAGAAGGTGGGCGCTAGGACCCAAACCACCTCCTGACACTAGTCATGGCCTCTGCTTTCCCTCCAAATTCAGCGCTTAGTCTCCAGACCACTAAGTGTGGCCTGACGGATCCAAGGTCCTCCTCCTCTGTCATCTTTTGTTTAATATTTATTTTTTAGTTGTAGTTAGACTCAATATCTTTATTTATTTTTATGGGGTGCTGAGGATCGAACCCAGGGCCTCGCACATGCTAGGCGAGCGCTGCACCGCTGAGCCACAGCCCCAGCCCTCCTCTGCCATCTTTTCATCTCCCTTTAATTATCTCTCTGGTCTCCCCATCTGTGATTACGGTTGTGATTATCACCTGCGCGTTATTCAGGCTCACCCCTGAATCCTCAGTCCAGCTTATTTCCCCCTAAACACTAATTCAGTGTCTTCAACATCTAAAAACATCTCGAATTCCAGGAGCTCAGAAAGCTAATGAGGCCTCACCCCCCCCCAGAAGAGCCCCTCCTTGCTATTACCAGCTCCCAGCTGCCCCTTACCAACCCCATGAGACACCCTTCTTTTCTCCCGACCCCGCCAGCCCGTGGGTCAGGCAGGGTTTCCTCTGGAGCCCACTCACATTCTGCACTGGCCTGACTGAGGCAAAAGCCCATGCGTGTCTTCACCTTGCTTCTTCCTGCCTGTCCTGCGGCTTCTGCACTGTTAGCCCTCCCTTCTCAAATCATGTCTGTCTTCTCCACAGCCTCCAGCACGTCACCCTGCCCTGTCCCCGACCTCTCCAGCCACACTTAGATCTTCTTATGAAGGTTCTGCATCCTGTCCTGAAATGCACATGCAGCTCAGGGCTTGTCTGAACCTCCAGTCACAACACCCTCTCTCCTAACGCTGTGCTTAGCCAACAGCTCTAATTGCTAACTACAGGGATGACTCAGATGCCTTTCAGCCCCTCCCTCTGGCCTGCTTTCACTCCCAGGAAGCCAGATGTTTATTAAACAGAATCTTCACTTGGACAACCCAAGGAAGCTCAGACCCAGTGCCTCTCAAAAGTATGCTCACCACGTCCCCCTCCACCAGACTCCGCCAACTACTACGCCAAGGACAGTGACCCTGGAGCCTGCTGCTCAGGTACCCGAGTGAATACTGATCCCCTTCCCCAGGCACCAGGGTCACTGTCCTTGGCACTTATATTTCCCTACACTTTACATCATCACCAAATTCTCTTGGTTCTTTTGACTAGTTGTCTCCAACTCACCATCTCTTCTTCTTCTTTTTTTTTAAAGAGAGAAGAGAAGAGAGAGAGAGAGAATTTTTTTTAATATTTATTTTTTAGTATTTGGCGGACACAACATCTTTGTTTGTATGTGGTGCTGAGGATCGAACCTGGGCCGCACGCATGCCAGGCGAGCGCGCTACTGCTTGAGCCACATCCCCAGCCCTCACCATCTCTTCTCCATCTTCCATTATATCATCAGCCCAACACTGGCTGATCACAACTAGATCACTACCAATCAGATTCACTCTTTGCTTCTGGTCTGACCCACCCTTCATTGGTTTCCTATTGTGTTTTTGTTGGTTTTTTTTTGAGGAGGGGGGCAGTACCAGATATTGAACTCAGGAGCACTAGGCCACCAAGCCACATCCTCAGCCTTATTTTTGTACTTTATTTAGAGACAGATCTCATTGAGTTGCTTAGTGCCTTGCTTTTGCTGAGGCTGGCTCAGCCTCCTAAGCCACTGGGATTATAGGTGTGTGGCACCGCACCCGGCTTCCTATAGTGTTTTTGATAAAAGATAAACTCTTTTAAGTGGATGAAATAATTACCGATTACCTGTCAGTTAAATTTGATTAGAAGGAGAGTGAATTTTTGATCCAGATTTTCTGGTTCAAATTCTAGAATCTGTTCTTGCAAGTTGATGACCTTCAGCAATTCACTCAAACCCTCTGTGCCTCAACTTTCTCTTCAGAAAATGGGGATAATAATGCCCACCTCCTTGTGTTTTTATAAAAATTAAAACCTGCTACATGTATGTATGCGCACCAACTGATGTTCTCTACTTCTGATTCTAGACTTGGGCCAAACTTTGCCTATTTCTCTTCTATCACGCTTTCATGTTCACTGTTCTTCCAGACCACCCCATTGCCAACTGGTGGCCTAAGCCCAACCTTTAAGTCCTGTCTTGGACATTATTACCCCGGGAACTTCCTGACCTCAACAATATGACTTAAGAGCACAGATTTCAAAGGCAGATGGCCTGGGTTCAAATCAATACTTAGTCACTTAGTGCCCCCCTGCCCCGAATCTTGGACAGGTCACTTAACGTCTGTGACTCAATTTCCTTTTCTGTAAAATGACAAAGACAGTACTCGTAGGATCATAGTGAGGATCAAGGAGCTCAATTTCCCGAGGCTCTTAGAATGGCACTTAAGGCAAGCACCTAATACCGGGCAGCTATCAGCATTCCTGCTAAGCTCGCTGCTATGCCTGAGCTCTCCAGACTGACAGAGTGAACTCTCCATAAAGGTCTGTCTGTGGACCCCCAGGTCTTCAGTCTTGCTATGAACTGCCTTCCTGCTCCAAATCTAGCATCCAGTATAAAGGAAATATCCTAAGCCTTAAGAATATCGCCGACTCCCCAGCACCCCCAAACACACACAATGGGGCACCATCTGATGACTCCCAAACTTCATCAGACTCCCGGGCCCTGCCAGCCTCGAGCACCCCAAAGCAGCCTTCCCGGGCTGGGGCGACGGCTCAGTTGGTAGAGGGCTGGCCTGGCATGCACAAGGCCTGGGTTCCATGCCCAGCACCCAAACAAAAAAACACAAACCACAAAACCAAACCAGCCTCCCGCCGCGCTCCCGCCCCTCCCGTCGTCGGACGCCAGGTCCTCCCCTGGCTCCACCGCTTTCCCGCCCCGCTCCCAGCTCCATCAGACCCCGGCTGCGCGCGCGCGCGCCCGCGGGCCCGGCCGCTGACCGGTCCTGGAGCTGGAGGTCGGGTCGCTCCCGCGGCTCCTCGTAGAAGCTGATGCCCGGGTGCGTGGCCAGGGCCCGCCACAGAAACTCCTGCGTGTAGGGCTCCAAAGGCAGCGGGAAGGGAGGCACTCGGGATTCCAGACGGCTCCACAGCGCGGGCAGACACAAGCCATCCAGCCCCTCGAGGGCCACTTCGTCCAACAAGGACTCTAACGCGTCCATGGCTGCTTGAATCGGCGGCGCCCAGAGCGCCTGCGCACCCAGCCGCCGAGGCCCCTGGTCCAGCGCGCCTGCGCACAGCGATCCGCGGGAGGCGGGTCGGACCGGGAGATTGGAGGAGGAGTTCCAGCGCGCCGACGTGACGTCACGCCCCCTCGGAGGCGGGTTCAGTGAGTGGAGCTCCGCCGCCATTGGTCCGGAACCCCGCAGTAACCAGGGGAACTGCAAACAGTGTAGGGGCCGCTTCCGGTTCGAACACCCGGAACCGCCGCCTCTAGGGATGGACGGTGAGTGTTCGTGGGCCCCTCCGGGAGGTCGGGCGGTTATTCTCTCAGGCCTCCCTGCGCCGAATACTAGGCCGTAACCCCCCTGGATCACCACTTCCCGACCCAGGATGTTCTCCAGGCTGAGGGAAAGCCGGGCTTAGTGGTCCGGCGTGGGGAGGAAAGGCGGGGGGCGTGGTCAGTGGCCTGGCCCAGTGCCAAGCCGTGGTCGTGGGGGACCTCGACCCTGGCCGGGGCCCAGAGAAGGGAATTACTGTGGGGAAGGAGCAGTGGAGGGTGGCATTGCGGGATCTGGGAATTGGGAAGGAGGGAAGGGTAATCCTGCCAAGTGCGGGAAGTCTGGGGAGGTCAGGAATGTTCCTCTTGTGGGCTTTGGCGTTGATTATAGCAGCCCCCATTCACAGAGTCCTGTCTGGTGCTAGGAACTCTGTAAACGCAACGCTTGGCCAAACTTCGCAGCAGTCCTTTGAGGTCAGTGTTAACTCCGTTCACAGAGAAGGAAACTGGGGCCAAGAAAAGTTGAGTAACTTGCCCAAAGTCAAACAGACACCGAGTGACAGAAACAGTGAGGCACTGTCTCTGGAGCTGAATTAGGGGGCTTGAGATTTAGACGTGTTTTTAGGGATTTTTTTATCCAGAGGTTGCCGATGCGAATGTCTGCAGAGTCAGGTTTAGTTGGGCTGGAATGGGAGGGACTGTGACTGAAAATCAGTTTCCCCATCTGAAAGGGGAGCTGCTCATTCAACTATGGCCTGCTGTCTTCTTGGGTGCTGCTCAAAAAATCATGACAGCTAATCACTCTGAAGTCCAGAAACACCCTGATGGGAATCATGGTACTGACAATCGGAAGCCATCTGGAAATAAGTTACTCTGATTTCTCATTTTCCAGATGGGGAGACTAATGTCTAGGGAGAATGGCAGGATCTGCTAGAACCCAGATCATTTTTCTTACTACACCACTGACCCATTCTGAAGAATTTGCATCCCATTGATATTCTCTGAATGCAGTGCAGAAAAAAAATGTTTTAAATTGAGCATTCCATCATGTGCTTAGTAGATAGATATCTTTGCCCTTTGGGCTTCAGCAGTACCATAAAAATGTCAGTACCATAAAAATGTCTTACCCTGTGGAAAGGTCAGTGTGATGTTGTTAAAAGAACAACAGTCCTCAAACCTTTTAGGTCTCAGGATACTTTTATGCTCTTCTCTGGAAAGATCTTTGCATCTATTATATCTACAATATTTACCATATTAGAAGTTAAAGCTGGAAAATTCTTAAAATATTATCAGTTCATTTGAAAATAGCCGGGCACAGTAGCATATGCCTGTAATCTCAGCAGCTTGGGAGGCTGAGGCAGGAGGATTGCAAGTTCAAAGCCAGCCCTGAGCAACTTAGCAAGACCCTGTCACAAAATTAAAAAAAAAAAAAAAAAAAGGGCGGGGGACAAGGCGTAGTGTATAAGCACCATGGGTTCAATTCCCAGCAAAAAGAAAGAAAGAAATAACAATAAGCCAATTACATCCAAGCATAAATATGTATTTAATGAAAAATAACTATATTTCTGCCCCCTACCCCAAATAATTAGTAGGAAGAGTGGCCTTGTTTTACATTTTCTCAATTGTCTTCCATGTCTGGCTTAATAGAAAACAGTAGACTCATCTATGCTTCAAGATCTGAACTGTTTCCTAATAACAATCATGCTGTTTTGACCCATGTATATAAAGAACTGGTTTCATATGGCTGTATAACTGGAATAGGAAGGAATATTTCAATTTCCTTTTGGGTAACTGTAGATACTCTTATGACTACACCAAACTCAGCAAATGGTGGTTTGTTAAAGATCAGTCACAGAGTGGTATCTGAAACTATGTGAGTGAACTTCGGTACTCAATTGCATTAAAATCCATTAGCCTCTCTTGACCTTTGACTGGCTGTTTTACCCCTATATGATTTTATAACATTATCCATTTGTCTTGTTAATAAGTTATGCAAATATTCCAAGTGTTGACATTGGTAATTTCCAATACCAATACCTCACATTCGTTAGTATCACCACCTATGTCATTTTAAAATAAGTGTGTTGGGAAGCTATTAAGCCGGCAAGGTAATAGAGACAAGTTTTCCACTTGTTTTCACTTGAAAGCTTGAATTTTATCATTGGCACCAAATATATTGTCAGTTGTTTCCTTGAAGTGATAGCCTCACTTCATTTGTATTTGAGCAGATGACAGCAAAACATCCAGGTCTGGAGAACTACAAGTTCTCTGTTGTTCATTTGAGTAGAAATGACATACCATACAAAATGTGGTTGTTCATCTGACAGCTCAAGAAATTGAATAGGCATTTTCTGGGACCAACCATTGTTCTTGGCTTGTAGCAAAAGTGGTTTATGTGTGCTTCCTTTTTTTCACACAGAATATTAAAAAGATGTGCACTCAGGCTTGGGTTGTGGCTCAGTGGTAGAGCACTTGCCTTGCAGGTGTGAGGCCCTGGGTTCGATTCTCAGCACAACATATAAATCAATAAATAAAGGTCCATCAACAACTCAATAAAATAAAATAAATAAAATATATCCAATCCTTTTTTTAAAAAAGATGTGTACTCATGGGTTGAGATTATTAACTGTTTCAGGATATTCTGAAGTGGAGAAGATTTTTTTTTTTTTTTGAGAGCATGCAGCAGTGAAGTATATACTACTAATAAACTATTAGTGTAGCTACTAATACAGTTGGGCACCGCTGAATTGGTTCAGGCCACAAGCAGTTTTACCCCCCTTGCATTGCCTTATGAGTACAGATGTCAACAGAGAGAAAAAGTCTTCACATTACGATTGAGAATGGTCTTGTCTATATGAATCCTCCTTCTCCCAAGACCTTTGGAACACACATTGGAAAACATTGCTACTGAACATTTCCAAGAAACCTGTTTTATTGCTTCTAATTGTCACCATCTCTGCTCTCCTGGAACATTATTTTAGACCCATGGAGGAATCTGTTCCTTTTCTGATTGGCTACAAAAAAATCATTTATTCTAAGAAAGAATTTACCTTAGGTAGACGTAGTGGCACATGCCTGGAATTCCCAGTGACTCAAACCTGTAATTCCAGTTGCTCAGGAGGTTGAGCCAGGAGGATCCCAAGTTCAAAGGCAGCCTCAGCAACTTAGTGAGGTGTTAAGCAACTTAGTGAGGGATGTGATGTGGCTTAGTGGTTAAGTACCCTTGGGTTCAATCCCCAATACCCCCTCCAAAAAAAAAAATTACCTTAGGTTAGATTTAATCATCAAAAAATCCAATTTTCCATTATAACTTTTGAAACATTGATTTAAGCATACTTTTTATAGGCACATATCTATTGGTTATACCGATACGGGCCTTAATGAATTATGATTCTAGCCAATTAGATAAGCCAAGTGTGTCTAACAAGTATCCCCAGATTGGACTGTTTGGTTTATTCTGCAAGTCACCAGTGCTGGTTTCTTTCTTTGTTTTTTTTTTACCATAGCTCTTTATATTTCCCCTTTGACTTTGAGGCTATGAACTTTGACCTTTTTGAGCCTCAGTTTTCCTTTGTGTGAAATAGATGATGTTTTGTGGACTCAGAGAAATAATGCACTAAGGCATTGTCAACCAGTGTGGCCCACAAGAAAACATTCCTAGAGGGAGCAGATGGTGTCATTATCTGCAAAAGTTAGGACTTCCAAACTGCTGACAGAAGAGGGAGGTGCTTCTGATGAAGCGCTTAAGCAAATAATCATCTTTGTAATGAGCTCGAGCTTTGTTTAGGAGAAAGCTCCATGTTTGACATTGCTTATTTGCATAAAAGTAATTGGCAGTGTGTGTGAGTCTTAAGCCTATAAAAATGTTCACCCTTTGTAAGAAAGTCAAATTCTCTCCAGTGAGATGGTTTAGGGAAAAAAAAACCAACTCAGTTGGTGGAGAACATAATAATTAGACAAAAGTTCAGCTCATCAGTGTAATTAGAAAGGACTTGAAAGTTGATCCTTTGTTTTGGCCCCCCCCAGAACAAATAAGTCAACATTTCTCCTGTTTATACTGTTAATTTACTCAGCAAACTTTCTCCAAGAATTAATAATGGCAAGATGAAATTTAGCCTAGCTTGTCCAAATAACCCCAAACTGCAGAACGGGTGACGGTTGAATTAGCAAGGTTTTGCCCAAAGTACGCAGTCAGTGTGTCTGGTCTCTTTTGTCCCTGTATTATATTCATCTGGGCTCTTGATAATTTGTTTCTCTTTCTACTTAAAATAAACCAAGCCAGGCACAGTGGCCCATGCCTGGAATCCCAGCCGCTCTGGAGGTTGAGGCAGGAGGATCACAAGTTCAAGGCCAACCTCAGCAATTTAGTGAGACCCTAAGCAACTTAGCAAGACTCTGTCTCTAAATAAAAAGTAAAAAGGGCTGGGGATGTGGCTCAGTGGGTTAAGCGACTCTGGATTCAATTTCCAGTATGAATGAATGAATGAATGAATAAATAAATAAATATTTAGCAAAAATTAAGAAGATAAAGCCCCCAGCTGGCAGAGTGACTGAGTGCCCGGGTAGTCTGTGTCCACTCTGGGTTCTCTGCTTCCTTCCTGCCGTTGCTTTCAGTGTTCCTTCCACCCTGTCGCTTTGGTTACAAGAAGGTGGCCCACCACGCTGTGTTTTGCTCAGCTCTGTCCCTTGTGGTGTTCCTGGAGCGACTCTTGGAGGGACTCGGTGGCATCCTATTGGGGTCTGGGCACTGGGATCCTAAGGTATGAAAATAAGTAGGATTGAA